TTTGGAGTATGTCCCAAGGTAGTTAATAGCTTAACTTAGATAATTATTTTTTTTCTGAAAAAATAATCTTAAAATGAGCCTGGGCAGAGCATGCTCTGGTCTGTGCTGGATTAAAATTAATAAACTATGCATGAACAATGTTGCTGGCAAACCCAAAGAGGATTTTTCCCAGTTGGTGGGAAGCTCAAGTTAAAATTTAACATGCTTTTCTCTCAAAGCTGTTTCTTTTTCAGTATTTCCAGGCTGAAAGATTGACTGTATCTTTCATATACTCAGCTGAGAGAAATGCTTCATCTTATATGCCTCTCTTTCCTTTGCCCCTTCACTACCACACTGATTCTGTATCTTAGATATATTTCCTCTTCTCTGACTCAACGGGCATTGCCGTTGTTGAAGCTGCCATCTTTTTGCTGAATGAATGAAGTTGATTTCTAATTTGTCTCACTGCATTTAGTCCTCCTTCCAGTCCAATCTGATTTTCTCACTCCAGCCAGAAAACACACACACACACACACACACACACACACACATCTCATTATTACCCAACACAAAGTCCAAACTCTTTACACCGGCTTACATGACTTTTAGTCTGGCTCTTGTGCACCTATACAGTCTCAATTCTAGCTGTTCCTTTATTACTACTTTATAATCCAGCCACACCAAGTGATTTGCAGTTCCTCAAACATGCCAGGTTGTTTCAATGCCTTCAAGACTTTGTGCATACTAATCCCTGAAATAGCCTTTCTGAAAATTCCTAAATTCTTGCTCATTCTTGAAGAAAATCAGGTAATGCCCAGGACAAGAGGTGGAGGCGGGGTGGGCTAGAAGGGATCAATGGGGGGAAAAGAAGGATGCATGTAATACTTCCAACAATAAAAAATTAAAAAAAGAAAGCAGGTATCACATTTTATGAAATCTTCTTGTTTCTTTCTTTGACACTACTGTTGTAATACATAGGCCTTTGTAGTGCTTTCCCATTGAATTCCAGCTATTTGCTGGTGTTTCACTTCTCCTGAAAGCTTATACAAAGCTTAAAACAATTGACATTCAATAATTCTAAATTTTAATTTTGTGGAGAATTTATTTGTTTCCTAATATAAAGTTAAATAGATAACTGTAAAGGAAAACTTGTATTTTTTCCTCTTCTATTCTCAATACTTCTGACCCAGATGTGTGTGTTTATTCCACACCAAGCAATTCTGCAACACCAACTGGCTGTGACCGCAATTCAATCCAGTTCTGACACTATCAACCTGGTGTTAGCATCAGATGTCACAAGTTACGGGCTCATTTCCACACAGTTGGCCCCCCAAAAATCAAATGCCAATTGCAAGTTCAGGTTGTTACCTATGATTCTGACTGATCAGCTACAAATCAGAGATTTCTGTTACCCCCTCATGGAATGCAGTCGTTTTCTAAAATAGCTCACTGAACTCAGGAGAACGGTGTACTTACTATTATTGATTTATCAAGGATACAAATGAATAGACATATGGAAGAGATGTGTAGGGCACGGTATGATAGTAAAGGTATAGAGCTTCCATGCCATGGCCTCTCTGGGTGTGTCTCCCTCCCAGCACCTCAATGTGTTCATGAACCCTGAAGCTCAGAAAGTCATTTTGTTCAAGAGTTTTTAGAGCCCAGCCAGCATGGCTCAGTGGTTGAGTGTCAACCTATGAACCAGGTCACTGTTCAATTCCTGGTCAGGGCACATGCCCGAGTTGCAGGCTTGATTCCCAGTGTGGGGCATGCAGGAGTCAGCCGATCAATGATTCTCTCTCATCATTGATCTCTCTCTCTCTCTCTCTCTCTCTCTCTCTCCCTCTCTCTCCCTTCATCTCTGAAATCAATAAAAATCTTTTGGGGAAATTTTTTTTTGAGAGTATAATCTCTAGCACCTGCCATATTCCATAAAGTTCACTGGATGGAGCTAAAAGTTTCAACCCTCTGGTCACTTGGTCCTTAGGTGACCAGGCACATGCATAGGCTATCCAGGGGCTCTGCCTTAAGTGAGCCTATTAACATAAACTCATATGTGATTAAAGGGGCTCCTTATGAATAACACTCTTGTCTTTCAGGAAATGTTAAGAGTTTTGGGAGATCTGTGCCAGGAACCTGGACAAAGAACAAACTTATTTTTTATTATGCCACAACTAGCTATGTCCTGGCCATTTCCCATCATGTCATTTTAGCATTAAAAATCTAAAAATCTAAATCAAGTTGCTGCTTAAACTTCAAAGCATTTAGCTGAATAAGGAGGACTTTGAGGCTGTGGTTCATGAGTATAAGAGCAGAGCAGAGAGGAACCAGCATTCAGGGAAGGAGAGAGAGAGAGAGAGAGAGAGAGAGAGAGAGAGAGAGAGAGAGAGAGAGAGAGAGAGATCAATGATGAGAGAGAATCATTGATCGGCTGCCTCCTGCACACCCCACACTGGGAATCAAGCCCACAACCCAGGCATATGCCTGGACTGGGAATTAAACCATGACCTCCTAGTTCATAGGTTGATGCTCAACCACTGAGCCATGCCAGGCAGGGTGCAAATGCAGGAATTTGCTGATCGAATACACAAACAAGTCATTGGGCACTTAGCAAATGAGCAATTCTCTACAAAACCTTGAATCTGGTGTTTTAATCCTTTCTTGATTCACACTGCCTGCCACCATGCCTGCCACATTATCAGTGTTTTTTGAATGTCCAGATGCTGGGGTCCAACCCCAGCAGGTCCAGGGGTCCCCAAAGGTGTGGACGGAGTCGGCGAAGAAGGAATGACACAGAGGCAGCCTTCGGGTGATCATCATCGCCAGGTTCCTCTAGCCAGGATCTCCAGCCAAGTTCTGTCTAGGATCTCCAGCCAGGTTCTGTAGCCATGTTCTCTCGCTAGGTTCTCCAGCCAGCTTCTCCAGCCAGGTTCTCCAGCCAGGTTCAGTCGCCAGGTTCTGTGGCCAGGTTCTTCAACCAGGTTCTGTCTAGTTTCTCCAGCCAAGTTCTGTAGCCAGGTTCTGTCCAGGATCTTTTGCCATGTTCTCTCGCTAGGTTCTGTCTCTAGGTTCTGTGTCCAGTTTCTGTCCAGGATCTTTTGCCATGTTCTCTCCAGCGAAGTTCTTCTGTCTCTAGGTTCTGTGTAGGTTCTGTGTCTAGGTTCTGTGTCTCTTGGTTCTGTGTAGGTTCTGTCTTCTAAGTTCTGCCTTCTAAGTTCTGTCTTGTTACATCTGTATTTATACCAGTTGATTCCAATCCTATCAATCTCTATTCCAAAGGTTAGGGCGTTTCTTATCTCCATTCCAGGGAGTAAAGATTATGTAGCTTAAGCATGATTGTTCGTAGTTAAAGTGATTAATTACCCGCCTGGCACTTAGTTGAGGGGTTTTATTCCCTCCCTAACTTCAGGGGAAAATCCCTACCTGGGGAACCAACCTTTCTCAGAGAGGAGACCTTGGTTAAAACACATAGTGCCAAGAAGGTGAGCAAACATATTAAGAACAGTATGCCATATATGCCAGGTCCCTTGAAACAGCAAGCATGGACCGGCTCCCGGCATCCAGAGACATAAATAGCAAGCAGAAATGGTGCAATTTATTAGAAAACTTCCTTTGGTCTCAACTCTTTCAATGAGATCTCCAAACATGATTTCTCTTGTCATGTATTCCAAGTTATAAACCTATTTTGGGGAATCAACAGTGAGTAAAATGAGACACTGATTTTTGAAATGATTCTGTGGAATCAATATTAGGATAGGATTGTCCTTATATAATACAGTGGAATGTTTCTCTTGTCTGACAACTTGGACTACAGGTTCAAACCCAAATGGATATGGGTCTGTAAAGATAGTGACTTTGCAATGCTTTTATCCCATACTGTTTTCTGCCCAGACTCATTGATAACCTATTGTATTTTATTTAATAGGTGTTTTGTATTTATTTTAGAGAGAGTAAGGGAGAGACAGATATAAATATCACTGATGAGAGAGAATCATGAATCAGCTGCCTCCTATACACCACCTACCGAGGATCAAGACTGCAACCCTGGCATGTGCCTGACCTGGTTCATGGGTGGACACTCAACCACTGAGACACAATAGCTAGACAATAACCTATCTTCTTATCAAGACAGCCAGTACTATAAGGATTAAGCAGCCTTTTTCCTGGCCTTCCATTATGTTTAATAGGTCAATATTTTTCTACTCTGTTGAGTTTGCCAATTTTAGCATAAGCGTCACATTTTACTGACCTAATTTTTCCTTTATACCTTTTCTTTTTCTAGATATAAAAATCTCTGTTGAACATTTTTTAAAACAAGCCTGTTTATAATACCAGCAAATGAAAACTATACAAATGGCTCCAAGCATTGTTTAGTTAGGTGACAAGAGAGAGCCCTGTGGAATAAGCCACAATGCCATTGCCATAACATCAATTAATTAGTGGAGTTTTTAGTTTTTACCTCTCTCCTCTCTCTCTCTCTCTCTCTCTCTCTCTCTCTCTCTCTCCTCTCTCTCTCTCTCTCTCTCTCTCTCCCTCCCTCCCTCCCTCCCTCCCTCCTTCCCTTCCTCCCCCTGTAGACATACTTCCTTGGCAACACTTGCTTGCCAGCATGTGCCTGAGCCCCCTTGATGGACTAATCAGGAATTCAAAATTTGTTAGAAATGAAACAATAAACAAATCTTGAACAATTTTTGAAGAATTTTGCCAAAATTAGCAATGCCTCTCTCTGAGTAAGACTTAATTTTAATTCTTGATAATAAGCAATGGAGGATCAGAACAGCAAAAGAACTGTGGAAATATTTTCCTACTTTTCACTTGAATTTCTATCTTAGACAATGTTAAACAGCCCTCAAATATTAGCCCCACTGATTTCTGTTCCTGTGCAGATGAATTTTTTTCCCCCTCTTTGAAGTTGTCTGAGTATTTCTCATCCTGATTCTCTGGGGTTTGCCTGTTTTCCACAGGTTTTCCTGCTTTTCACACCAGATTCAGGCTACCATATTTATTCTGCTTCCTTACAGAAACTCCACCTATTGTATGAAAGTATCCATCTCACTTACCGTGGGCGAAAATGACACTGGACTCTGCTATAATTCCAAGATGAAGTACTTTGATAAAGCTGAACTTAGCAAAAGCAAGGAAATTTCATGCCGTGACATAGAAGATTTTTTACTACCAGCCAGAGAACCTGAAATCCTATGGTATAAGGTATGAACTGTGAATAATCATTTTGCTTATACATAAATAATGTGTATTTTACACTTGAAAAAGTTGGATAAAAAAATTAATGGGCGTATTACAGTTCAACTTTGCCTTCCTAAAATGCTACAACAGGTTGTGCTATCCATTGTACGTTCTCAAACCAGTGAGTGACTTTGATAAATGCTAGTTAATATTTGTATCAGTAGTCCATTATAAGGAGCTGATGTGTTTATATTTATATCTACTTTATACCTACAGTGCCTTCAAGTTTGTTATAACCTGCATTGATAATTTCAGGAACTAAAACTAAAATTAATTTTCAAGCTCTTCATGTAAGCAGTCCAAAATTTCCCCAAATAAGGAGAGAAAGATTTATTTGCTTCTGTGATAAAATAGTACACTAGTTTTATTGAAAAGTTCTATGTAATGGAAGTATTTTGGTGCATATTCTAATCCTTTTCATATACAAGCATACATATTTTAAATAACATCTGATGAAAATTTATAACATTATAAAAATAATGTTAGATTAAGGTTTTTTCAAAAAGCAAAAGAAACTTTAGGCTTATACAGAATAAATCAACCCTGCCCTTACTATCACTGAATTTCAAGATTTGAACATACTCTTCAGTTCATTTCTATATCATAAAATATAATTCTGTTATTGAATATATTCAATACTATACAATTTAGATGCTATGAACATTTATCTGAAATATTTTGCCCATGTTTTAAAGATTCTTAGTGTAAAATTTGCTTTATCCAACTCACTGCATTAGCAATTAAGGAAGCTGGACCTCTTAGTAACTAAATCCACTAATACAAATGTACAGAACATGAGATCCCATGATGGACTATTCAGGAATTCAAAACTTGTTAGAAATGAAGCAAGAAACAAATCTTAAACAATTTTTGAAGAATTTTGCCAAAATTAGTAATGTCCCTCTTTGAGTAAGACATAATTTTAATTCTTTTTTAAATATTTTTATTTATTTCAGAGAGGAAGGGAGAAGGAGAGTGAGATAGAAACATCAATGATGAAAGAGAATCATTGACTGGCTGCCTCCTGCATGCCCCCTACTGGGGATCGAGCCCACAACCCGGGCATGTGCCCCTGACCGGAATCGAACCTGGGACCCTTTAGTCTGCAGGCCAGTGCTCTATCCACTGAGCCAAACCAGCTTGGGCTTAATTTTAATTCTTGATAATAAACAATGGAGGATCAGAACGGCAAAGGAACTGTGGAAATATTTTTCTACTTTTCCCTTGAATTTCTATCTTAGACAGTGTTAAACAGCCCTCAAATATTAGCCCCGCTGATTTCTGTTCCTATGCAGATGAATTTTTTCCCTTTTTATTATTTTTTTAAAATATGACAAACTCTTTGTACCACATCTTTTTAACTTTTTTGTTAAATATATTTTTTTTTATTTTTTACAGAGAGGAAGGGAGAGGGACAGAGAGATAGAAACATCGATGAGAGAAAAACATCAGTTAGCTGCCTCCTGCACACTCCCTACTGGGTATGTGCCCACAACCAAGGTACATGCCCTTGACCGGAATCGAACCTGGGATCCTTGAGTCCGCAGGCCGACGCTCTATCCACTGAGCCAAACCGGCCAGGGCTTTTTCCCTTTTTTAAGTTGTATGAATATTTCTCATCCTGATTCTCTGGGTTTGCCTTTCCACAGGCATATTCTGAGTAAATCCTGATGATTGCTTTGAGCGGAGAGGAATCTGGGGAGCTTGATCCAAGGTCTCCAAGAACAAATACTTTTATTAGCACTTATATGTGTACATTCAGCTTCTAGATACTCAATTAATTTTCTGTTTTGCTACTAAGTTAATCTAAAGAGGCATGCCCCTCTTCTCACTTTTTGCCAGCAGTATCTCAAAATTTGCCAAAATCTTAGAAAGTACATGCATGCACACATACATACTCAAACACTCATTTTTTTTTTTTTTTAATGGCTGGCCTGACATTGGTTCTTTAGTCATGTTTCCACTATCACCCCATTCATTGTGACTTTAAGCTATAAAGACCATAACTAGTAGAGTGATGAATGGAGATCATGTATATGTAAAAGTTAAAAGTCTTATAACAAATCAAATTATATTCCCATAGCCAAGGAGATATATGTTCCATACATTCAGTGCACAATGTATGCAATTTTCAAGTTTGCTCAAGTAATATGAGGATATAAAAGGTATATTTTGGTCTGAAATAACTGGGTAATTGGCTCCCAATTATATAAAGGCATTGAGCCACATAATCAGTTTGCAGAAATTTGATTTGGCAATACATTATTTTAGAAATAACATTACCTCTGAATAGTGTCAAATGGTTTAAAGCTATTTTATCCTCATTCCATTGATTTGCAATCTGGCTAGAGGAAATAGACTTCTGTTTTGGCATAAACAGAAATCTCATGAGCCAACATCATTACAATCCAAAGCTGAATTCAGAGACCATAATTTGGTAGACCTATCAACAATGAAGACAGATATTTATTGAACTATAAAGACCTTTAATATAAATATTGTCTATTTCTTTCATGGATTATTGAATGTACATGCTGTGAAGAGATTCAACTATCTCTAAAATAAACATTAAAATATTTAATATATTGAAATAGAAGCATTTTCATCTATAGAATTACTTTTCTACTTCTCACTAAATTTATTACTTTGTATTTTATGTTACCAATTATCAAGGTGGTTATTTCTCAATAATCAAATGTGGAGTATTAGATGATGTCAGGCCTTAGCGGGTTTGTTTGGCTCAGTGGATAGAGCGTCAGCCAGTAGACCGAAGGGTGCAGGGTTCAATTCCAGTCAAGGCCATGTGCCTCAGTTGCAGGCTCCTCCCCAGCCTGGGCCCTGGCATGTTCAGAAGGCAACCAGTCAATATATTTCTCTCACATTGACATTTCTCTGTCCTTCCCTCTTTCTTCTACTCTCTCTAAAAATCAATGGAAAAATATCCTTGGGTGAGGATTAACAAAAAAATAAAATAAAAGTTATGTCAGAAGTAATCTTAACAAATGTCCCTTTTTATATCTAATAAGTTAATACATTTCTGATTTAGAGACACTAATATTAGAAATTAATAAAGTCTCTCTTTCTAAAAATACCTTTTTAAAAACATTGAGGTACCTGATTTTCCAGAAATGTGGAAAAGGTATGAAAATCTTTAGAATCAATTCCAAACTATTTAACCCTTTTAAAATATAATTTGAGAAACTTTTTGTTCAGTTATTTTAAATACTTTATCTTTAATTGCTATATAAATATAAATGCTATGTAAGTAATACTATAGAAGTAACAACATATAAATATAAATATTACATAAGTAAAATATAGTAATGCTCTATAGTATAGCATGTATGAATACTATATAAGTAGAATATAGTAATATACTAGAGGCCCAGTGCACGAACTCATGCACGGGTGGGGTCCAGCCACCTGGCCACAACAGGGGCAGATCAGGGCTGAGCCTGTCAGGAGGAGGAGACAGTGGGAGGTAAACCGGCCGACTCACCCTGATTGGGGCCGATCAGGGCCAGGTCAGCTGGGGAGAGGGGCCATGGGCAATTGGCTGGCAGGCCCCGCCCCCTATTGGGGTGGGGGTGCTATCGGGGATCAGCAGCTGTGGGAGGGGCTGTGGGAGGTTGGCCAGCCAGCCCCATCTCCGAATGGTGTGTGGGGGGCGATCAGGGGTGGAGCTGGCTGGGGGAAGGGCCACAGGCCACTCAGGGTGGTGTGGGCCCATCTTGGGTGGGGCCAGCCTGTGGGAGGGGCTGCAGGAGGTTGGTCAGCCAGCCCTATACACTACTGGGGTAGGGGGGCGATCAGGGGTTGGGCCAGCTTGGGGGGAGGGGCTGCGGGCCGATTGGGGTGGTGGGGGCCCATCAGGGGCGGGTCGGCAGGGGGGAGGGGCTGCGGGAGGTTGGTCGGCTGGCCCCACCCCCTATTGGGGTCAGGGGGTGATCAGGGGTGGGGCTGGCCAGAGGGAGGGACTGCAGACAGATTGGGGTGGTGGGGGCCCATTGGGGACAGGGCCCATTGGGGGAAGGTGCTACAGGAGGTTGGCTGGCTGGCCCTGCCCCCAGATTGGGCTTTTGTGCTGGCCGCAGTGGATGTCATAGCGATCGGTCGTTCTGGTCGTTACAGCGTTCCAGTTGCTGGCTTTTTATATGTATAGATAGCATTTATTTATACTATACTAGAGGCCTAGTGCACATTTGTGCACTGGGGAGGGTCTCTCACTCCAGCCTGTCCTCTCAAAGTCCGTGACACCTCGGGGGATGCCCACTAGACAGACATCCCCCGAGGTGTCCTTAGTGCTACCACGGAGGCAGGAGAGACTCCCACCATCGCTGCACCCTCCCGCCATAAGCCCGGCTTCTGGGTGAGCTGAGCTCCCCCTGTGGGAGTGCACTGACCACCAGAGGGCAGCTCCTGCATTGAGTGTCTGCCCCAAGGTGGTCAGTGTGCATCATAGCTACCAGTCATGCAGCCGTTTGGTCGATTTGCATATTAGGGTTTTATTATATAGGACTAGAGGCCCGGTGCACAAAAATTTGTGCACTCGGGGGGAAGAGGGGGTCCCTCAGCCTGACCTGTGCCCTCTCGCAGTCTGGGACCCCTCAGGAGATAATGCCCTGCTGGCTTAGGCCTGCTCCCGGTGGCAGAGGGCAGGCCCAATCCCTAGGTGCAGCCCCTGGTCGGGCCCAGAGCAGGGCTGATTGGGGAGTTGGGGCGCCGCCTCCTGTCATGCACATAGCAGGGCAGATTGGGAGGTTGCGATGGCACCCTCAGTCATGCTCAGGGTAGGGCCGATTGGGGGGTTGGGGCACCCGCCCCATGTCACACTCAAGGCAGGGTCGATTGGGAGGTTGCGGCGCCACCCCCTGTCATGCACAGAGCAGGGCCAATCAGAGGGTTGGGGCGCCGCCCCCTGTCATGCACAGAGCAGGGCCCATCAGGGGGGTTGGGGCTCCTTACCCTGTCATGCACAGAGCAGGGTCCATCAGGGGGGTTGGGGCTCCTTAGCCTGTCATGCACAGAGCAGGGTCGATCAGGGGGTTGGGGAGCTCCCCCCTGTCATGCACAGAGCAGGGCCCATCAGGGGGTTGGGGAGCTCCCCCCGTCACTCACAGAGTAGGGTCGATAGGGGAGTTGGGGCACTGCCCCCTGTCACACACAGAGCAGGGCGGATCAGGGGGTTGGGGCACAGCCACTGTCACTCTCAGGGCAGGGCCGATGGGGAGGTTATGGCTCTACCCCATCACACACAGAGCAGGGCCCGTGGCGGGGGAGGTGGGGGTTGGTGCGCCGCCACTCTCACACTCAGGGCAAGGCCGATGGGGAGGTTGTGGTTCTACCCTGTAACACACAGAGCAGGGCCCGTGGGGGTGGGGGAGTTGTTGCGCCGCACCCTGTCACACACAGACCAGGGCCAATTGGGGGTTGGGGCGCCACCCTCTATCACCCACAGAGCAGGACGATCAGGGGGTTGGGGAGCTGCCACTGTCACACTCAGGGCAGGGCCTATGGGGAGGTTATGGCTCTACCCCATCACACACAAAGCAGGGCCCGTGGGTGGGGGGGGTTGGGGCACCGCACCCTGTCACACACAGAGTCGCAGGGCGATCAGGGGGTTGGGGAGTTTCCCCATATCAGGCACAGAGCAGGGCTGATCAGGAGGTTGTGGTCCCGCTCCCTTCCACACACAGAGCCGCAGGGCAATCAGGGGGTTTGGGCGCTGCCCCCTGTCACGCTGAACCCGGTGCTGGGAGGCATATTACCCTTTTACTATATAGGATAGAGGCCTGGTGCATGGGTGGGGCTGGCTGGTTTGCCCTGAAGGGTGTCCTGGATCAGGGTGGGGGTCCCCACTGGGGTGCCTGGCCAGCCTGGGTCAGGGGATGATGGCTGTTTGCAGCTGGTGACACACCCTTCAGGGTGGGGGTCCCCACTGGGGTGCCTCGCCAGCCTGGGTGATGGGCTGAGGGCTGTTTTCAGGCAGGCGGGTGACTGAAACTCCCAACTGCTCCTTTTTCTCTTTTTTTTTTATTCTGGGCCAGCTTTAGCTTTGGCTCCAGCTCTGAAGCCTCTGCTGCTGAAAGCAGGTATCTCGTTTGTTTGGTTTCTATAATCGAAACAATGTATAACTCCAGCTCTGAGATCCCGGCGAGCTGAAAGCAGGTTTCTGGGGTTTTGTTTAGCTTCTATATTTGTAACTATGTTTCAAACTGCAGGCTCAGAGGCCGGCAATGCAGGCGGGGAACGTTGGTTTCCTCCATCACTGAAGCAAGCAAGCCTCATGTTAGTTTCAAGCTGCCTGGCTGCTGGCCGCCATCTTGGCCGGAAGTTAATTTGCATATTGCCCTGATTAGCCAATGGGAAGGGTAGCGGTCGTACGCTAATTACCATGTTTCTCTTTTATTAGATAGGACTAGAGGCCTGTTGCAGGAAGAGATTCATGCAATAGGCCTTCCTTTCCCCTGGCTGCTGGCACTGGTTTGCCTCAGGCACCTGGGGCCCAGGCCTTCGCTCTGGCAGAGTTCTGGCCGGAGCTGGCCCCGGCCCCGGAAATGTCAGGCTTCGCTGCTCAGCCAGTCCCGGGGCCGTCAGGCTTTGCTCCACCACTTGGAGAGCCTACGTATGCAAATTAACCGCCATCTTCGTTGGTGGTTAATTTGAATATCATGCTGATTAGCCAATGGGAGGTGTAGCAAAGGTACGGTCAATCACCATGTTTATCTGTTATTAAATAGGATAAGTACTACAGTATGTCCTTGGGTTACGTTGGAGATCCGTTCCAACTGCATGGCGTAATGCGATTTTCACCATACGTCGGAACCCACCTACATAAGCACCTGGGTCACTCACATGGAGCACATACACAGCAGTAATGAAGTGAAACAGTAAAAAAAAATTAAAAGAAAGATAATTCTTGACCTTTACTTGTTGTAAATCCTATATAATAAGAGAGGAATATGCTAATTAGCTGTTACGCCCTGAGGCGTAAAGACAAAGTGCGTCACAACCAGATCATGGATCAGCAGGAGGGTGGGCCAGCGAGGTACAAGTGGGCTGCAGAGAGCTATAGGATGGGGCAGGGCAGCAAGCTATAAGCGGGGAGGGGGAGCTACCAGAGGGCAGGGCAGCAGGTGGAGAGTTAAAGGAGGGCAGCAAGGACCTACTGGCTACAAGCAGGCAGCAGAGAGCTACAGGAGGGGTCAGGGCAACAAGCTAAGAGGGGGAGGGTAGCTACAGGAGGGTGGGGCAGTGGGCGGAGAGCTACAGGAGGGCAGCAGTGACCTACTGGCATATGGATTCATGCGCATGGCTACTAGTAAATAAGAAAAAAACATAAAGCACATATGTATATACATCAAAATAACGGATTTTTTTAAAATAAATAAATGGGAGATGGTGACGTAACCATGAAACGATGTACGTCGAGTCCGACGTAACCCAAGGACTGCCTGTATGTGGTATTTATAAAAATATACAAATATTATATGCGCTACAAAAATTGTATTTCTTTATGCAGGAATGTAGGACAAAAGCATGGAGGCCAAGTATTGTATTCAAAAGAGATACTCTGCTCATAAGAGAAGTCAGAGAAGATGACATTGGAAACTACACATGTGAATTAAAATATGGAGGCTTTGTCGTGAGAAGAACCACTGAATTAACTGTTACAGGTAAGCACAGTTTCAATATTTCATTTTCAAGTAATGAAACTACCATTTGAATTTTTGTTTTTGTGCCGCATATTGACTTTTCTAAATCTATGCAATGAAAGAAGAACTTAACCAAATGCTAAATGGATTCTTATAGGTGAAATTTACTCCTCCTTTCTTTTAAATCATCTTGCATTTCAGTTCACTTGAGAGGTTAAAGAAAATATGTTTTCAGAATTATAGAAATGTTAGCTTTTGAAAGCACTTAAAATAATATGTTTGCAATATCAGAAAATTATGTTTATATTTTGTAGTGGTATCATTTTCAGAAAAATTTTTTGAGTGTTGAAATGGAATTCATGAAATCCATCTTTGTCTTCCTGTCTTGCTCCAAACTAGAAAACAAATTATTTATCACTCTATAAATATAACATATTTTTTTATCATGAACTTGAAAATAACATAATTTCAGGTACAATAGCTGAATAATTATGTGCGATGTAATGCGTGAAGTCATGAGAACAAGGTAGAAGGTCATGAGAACAAGAATCACAGCACTGTCTAAAATCAATAAATCTATAACTCACTAGTCTCATGACCTTGTTTGAATCACTACAATCTTCAGAATATCAGTTTCCTCGTATATAAAATAGTGATGACAAAATTTTCCTTATTTACCTCAAAGGGTTTTTGCAAGGATCAAATGAGGTATGGTAATATGTATGGGATCAGTTGGGAAAATACAGAATAATATCCAAATGTGCATCATTTTTGTCATTTTAAATCATGTGAAATATTGTGTTCATATTTTTTACTTTATAGTGTACTTCTCTAAAAGTGCTTCCAAGGGAAAAAGGGAAAGAAAACAATATTAGGAAGTTAAAGACATTATTCTCCTCTTATTGAGAAAAATTCTTCTTGGTGATTTTCTGTTGCACAATCGTGTTTATGAAACATATTAAAAGTATATAAAGTATATCAAATACTTCAAAGAGAATTTTATTTGCGTGTTGACTCACATAAGATAGTTTCCCTGCATATGAAAAGTACTTTGTAGTAGTCTTCTTCACCTTATAATAATCATCTTTTCTTTTAAATCTTGAATTATGATATATTTTGAGTTTTAAACTAAAATTGGTTTCATGAAATTTACTTGGTGAATAGTAATTATCCTAATTGAAATAAATTTTAGTTAAATATATAAAGTACTCTTTGGTAATGCCTAGGATAAATATTAGACCCAGTAAATAAATGATAATGGCAATATGTTACACTTGAATAATAAACACACATTCAGTCTTTCATTATGTACCTATGGTATGCATGCATGTGTGTAATTTACTATAGTTTGGATTTCACTTCTGCTGAGTGTAATATGTCTCTGTATATAAAAATAAAATTAAGAGCTAATCACTTTGCCTCCCTATCTGTTTAATGAAATAGTGAAAAAAATATAACTGACTATACTTGGGTATTCTTTATCAAATATATTGACTTTTTATTATTTTTTTTCTCAACTATACTGATGTAACTTTTCTAAGGAACAGGCATTGAGAAAAAGCAATTTAAAAATATAATGCAAAATCATATGTTCGGAAAATAAATAGAATGCACTTTTAATCTTTATTCTTTGGAGAGTATATCTAATCCTTGTAAGCACATATTTCCCTTTTCTAGAAATACTAGGATACTAAACCACTATTGAGTAAAAGGAGATTAAAACACAATCTCCTGGAGACTGTAAATTGGGTCCCAAATGTTAAGACAACTTAAATGAGGCTATTTTATATAACCAATAATATAATTGTTTTCTCCTAGATCAGTGGTTCTCAACCTTCCTAATGCCACGACCCTTTAATACAGTTCCTCATGGTGTGGTGACCCCGAATTTCATTGTTACAAATTGAACATAATTAAAGCATGGTGATTAATCACAAAAACAATATGTAATTAATATATGTGTTTTCCGATGGCCTTAGGCGACCTCTGTGAAAGGGTCGTTCGACCCCCAAAGGGGTCTCGACCCACAGGTTGAGAACCGCTGTCCTAGATGCTATCCAGAGCTACTATATTTGTCTAACTTAATTTCTCCCAAAATATATCCTTTTTATATGAAAAGGAGGAATAATTATTTCTTGATATCCAAGAGGAAGTTAGTGACAGTTTTAATGAAAGTTTTCATTCAACTGATTATTGTGAATACCTCTAAGTTAGTTTTACCTTTGACAATGATTTGGGCAAATAAGTAATAAACCAAAATTTGACTACATATGAAATTTTGGGCGAGTGGGAGAACTGCATGCCCTGGAATTAAAATAGTACCATTCAAATGCATTTTATGTACTAACAAGTCTATTGACAAGATATATTTATGTGTAAGATTGCTATTAATGGTGTGACACTATAACAAACACATTTATTTTGCCTGTGCCCAAATTAAAGAACAATTCTTAGAACACAAATTGTATCTCTCAGTAAAGCATCAAAGGTGGGCATTTATCTTGATACACTGTTTTGTATCTTGGTTTTCTGAACATCATGATCATATTGTTTTTAATATAAATAATATGCAAATCATGATATAATTTAGTTTTAGTGGATCTACCACAGCTGATAATAAACAAATATTTTGAAGTGTGTTAGAATGTTTCTTTAAAATGAAAAAGTAAGAATCCTATATGTAAAGGGGAAAGGATATTTCTGGATAAAGTGGCTAAATGTATAGGCAATATTTTGAGCTTTTATGGGAGATTCTTATTAAAAGCTTATGGGTACACTATCTGCATAAGTATCTGCATACGTTACTTAGAATCTTTCTGCATGGGACATATATCTATTTTCCCATCTTTATGTACTTATTCAATCACTTATTTATATCAGTATGGACTCATAGATACTTTATACATTGGTGTGTAATCCAATATCACCTTATTTATTTTATTGCTCAATTTGTTCTAGCTTTGGCCCTTAGGGGCTCTTTCAATTAACTCCTTTGTCCCTCTGACATACCCCCATCTGTGTGTGTGTGTGTGTGTGTGTGTGTGTGTGTGTGTCTGTGTGTCTGTGTGTGTGTGCGCGTGCGTGCATCCTTATTTTGGTACCATACAGTATGCTTCAGGATTATCTTTTGTATTTCCTGCTCCTGTCGTAGAATTAGTTTTTGTTTTGCAAAGAGCCCTCATTTTTGTTGTTGTTTAGTTGGACAATAGTACTAGAATCTAAGACCTGGATATTGGGAGTACTCATTGCTGCTGGGGTATAGTTGCTTCTAATACTTCTCAGTTAACAGAGCAAGGAAATATGTGTACTAATCCAAGTATATACATGTATTTATAAATATGTATATATGTAACCATGGGTTTCTATATTAAACTAAACATGAGTTCAGTCTTATTTCTCCAAATCTAATCCATTACCATTGGGAATATTCTAGCCTCTTCCTGTCCAATAGTGAAAAACCTTGTCCTGATCATCTGTTAATCATTTACTTAATTATTCAATTTAAATGAAGATGTATAATGAAATCAGGATTGTTAACCTGTACTCCTGTGATAAACAACTTTATTAACTACTGAATAGTGCTTATATATAGTTTATTTTGCCTTTTGTCTTACAAACTCCACTCATTTCCAGTGTTACTTAGGTTAGCACCTTTTCCCTCCATCCCCTTCAGTGAGTTTTTCTCATATATTTGTAATATATTTAGATTGTTCTATTACATTCTGCATTCTACCCTGAGATCTTCCATCCTCCTAAACGATGCCTTTAAAAAATTGTATACACTAAGGGTTCTACCCTCTGAGTTCTTGACTGAGACCCCCTATAATATGACAGATTAATAAGAGAAAAACAAGCAAAAGTTTATTGACATGTATACCATATATGACAGATTAATAAGAGAAAAACAAGCAAAAGTTTATTGACATGTATACCATATATGACAGATTAATAAGAGAAAAACAAGCAAAAGTTTATTGACATGTATACCATATATATATATATATATATATATTAGAAGGCCCGTGCACAAAAAATTGTGTACTGGCAGGGAAGGGTGATCCCTCAGCCCAACCTGTGCCCTCACATGGATCACGCTGCCTCTTGCCTTGGCCATCCCGCCCACCCTGCCCAAGACACAGCAGACCCAGATGGATCCCACCCTGGGGCAGACAGCAGCTCAGATCCTGCTGCCGCCTGCCCCTCCCACCCCACCCAAGACACAGCAGGCCAGGATATCGCCTTGGGTGGCGAAGCGGGATCTGCCTGCAGTATTCAAATTAGCTGCCATCTTTATTGGAAGTTAATTTGCATATCTCGCTGATTAGCCAATGGGAGGTGTATCGGAGGTACGGTTAATTTCAATCTTTGTCTATTATTAGATAGGATACACACACACACACACACACACACACACACACACACATTGAACAGACCCAGGATAACTAAGTACCTCTTTGAGATGGCTCAAGCTACCACCTTAAATACCATAGTCCACTTAAGACAAAAGAAATATTGGGGTGTAATTATGGGAGCTTTTTGAGTTTTTGTCACCTCCTCTTCCTGGTACACAGAGGGAGACACTTTTACAAATAGAGATTTCCTTATAAATGTAAATTTCCCTCTAAAACAGTATTGTCTTTGTTTTCACAGTTTCTCCTATATCTGCAGTTTCTCAAAATAATCAGCTCTAAATAATCCTTATATCAAAAATTCATATTTTGAGGTGGCATACTCTACTAACATATACCTACCTTTGAAACTTCTCCAAGAAGTTTCACAGTTCAGAAGATCAATTGCTTGATTACTTCACATCTCAATGAACCAGTCTTAATCCTGAGAATAGGTTAATTCAAGAAGTGATGTTACAAGTGAGCTCTCAACTTTAACCCTGCATGGTGTGAGCAATCATGTATTCAATAAGAAGCATTTCTATGGAAACACAAGAAAAACAAAGGTTAGTGGTTGGAGTAGACTATAAACCTAGTTTCTGAGTCCCGAGGGGAGCCATTGAGATTCCTAAA